GGCATGCCTAGATGAGCTTATGATTTCATCCTTCATGAGTTGGGGGTGACAATGTCTCGTTAGTTTAAGACGACTCTCGGCCAAAGACGAGTAGCTCTAGATACTCACTTTGTATATTACTGAGTTGCTATGTGGTAATTGCGTGTCATGAAATAATATGTCATTTGCTTGCATTTGAATGACTAATTTTCTGTCACATTGGCAAGCTATTTTCATTTGCATATCATGTTAGAAAGCTAATATATTTACCCATGCAAATATTTTAAACTCGTTTTTAAATCATGCTGTTGTATTTGATATCAGATCGAGTGGAAATGTGATCTCCTATATTAGATCTAGAAATTTCATTTATTGGCTCTGGCTCACCTATTTTATTTTATAGATATGTAGTGATAGATCCACCTCATGCGATGAGATTTGGGATAACACTATCTTTCAAGTGTGACTATCAATATGTACCTATACTTAGACTCGCAGTGGTGTATTAAGTATAGCTCTACAATTTGGGTCGACATAAGGTTACCACAACTTATTCATTATCGTTTTATCACTTGGTAAGGTTATATTAATGACAAGTTGGTGGACCTCTGAGAGGGTTTAATGGTCTGCCTGGTTTTGATGATAAGGATGACGTGATGGTGCATGAAGTTTTAGACGTGGTAGTTTGAATATTGTATAGGCAGGCTTTGGATTAGATTATAGTATGTATATAATGGTGTTAGGTTTACCCCGATTTATCCCCAGGAGTGATATAATGTACAATGTTTTATTTTGGGAATAGCTATCCAAAAAATCTTAAACGTAATGTATGACAGTCAATTCAATCTTACATTTTTTAATTTGGCCAATTTAGTCTTAAACCTTCTAACGATATGACAATATAATCATTTCGGCCAATTTTGGTCGGCAATTGCTAACGTAGATGCCAGCTGTCCTATGCGGCATGACCAACAACCGGTGCTCATGTAGACAATTTTTTCAATTTTTAAAAATTTCTCAAGTTTTTCTTCTTCTTTTTTCTATTTACCTCCGTTGGCCACAAGCAAGGACCGAGACACCCTCGCCAACCCTCGTCGGCCATAGGCGAGGGCATCATGGCCCTCACTGGCAACCGTGAAGGCTCGCATACCCTCTCCCAAATATGGCAACGGCTGCAATGCCCTCGCCAAATCTAGGCTCGCGAGGGCATCGTGACGCTCGCCTTTGGTAGGTGACCCTTGCCGGCCATGGCAAAAGCCTCGGCAACCGGTGGAGGGAAATAGGGAAAAAAGAAAAAAGAACAGAAAAGGAAAAAATGAAAAAAAATGAAAATTTTGAAAATTTTTGCAAAGATCATCCAAGTTAACGCCGATTATGTCACGTAGGATGGCCAGTACTAATTGAATAGCCACGTCAATGGTTTCTAGCCAAAATTAGCTTGAAGGACTACCAAAAAGTTCAGCACTAAATTGGCCAAATGAAAAAGTTTATAACTAAATTAGCCATCATACAATAAGTTAGGATTTTGGAACAAATTTTCCTTATATTTTGGATGTTTGTATTTATATATTGTGATCAATGCTATCATGAAGGTGCATGTACATGTACATGTTAACTGAAGGTTGATGTTTTGTGGCATGATTTGTATTTATATACTATGATGTTTCCGGATGTCTTTTAAAAAAACTAATAATAAAGATAGTAATAATATATAAATATATATAGGAATAAACACGTGTAGCACGGTGATGTACTAAGGCATCACACTTCAAGAATAACTTGTTGGAGGAGAATGTGGGGTACAAGGAGGTAGAAATGATCAGTTCCCGGTCCAGTCCGATTTTAAGGCGGAATCGGGAACTCAACCGGGAGGACCGGTTCCCAATTCGGAGAACTGGGAATCAATCTAATGAAACCGGTCACATTTTTTATTTTTTTCCCTCCACAACAAGAGAGAATGATAAATCTTAACATATTGATGGAAGCGCGAGAGAAGAGTCATTGTGGTGCGATGATAAAGGGAAAGCATTGTACGTGGGTTTAGTTCACATTTTACTATTTTTTTTGAAGAAATAAAAAAAGTATATATAATCGGTTCGGTTCCCCCTTAGAACCGGGAACTGGATCGCCCGGACACCGGTTTCACTTTTAGGAATCAAAAACTGAACCGACACTCTCGGGAACAGGACCAAACCGGTCAATCCGGTTCGATCTAAGTAGTTCCCAATCCAGACGGTCCGTTTTGCACACCCCTACAAGGAGGAGATGGCGGAGGATGGCCCACATACGGCCAAGCTAGTAAGGTCGACTGTTCATCAATTTAATACGGTCATTCTCTGGTAATTCAAACAAATGAGTGGTTTGACGAAAAACGATAATGTGGCAGCGAGGGCCGTAATCCTCGCCATTGGCCGGCAAGCCTCGCTTAGATCCGGGCAAGTATGACCCTTGTCTCTGCTTGGCAACCTTTGTCGAGGCTTTGGTGGTTAGCAGAGAAAGATAATGAAAGGTAGATAAAAAAAAAAAAAAGAGAGTAAAAAAGCACAAAAAAGAAAGGTTGTTTAATTTAAGATCATCCACGTTATTTGTCCGTCGTGCCATGTAGGATAACTATCGTTGACTATACCGTCAATACCGTCATACTAGGATGGATTATATTGGAAAATTGTCAAAAGGTTTAGAACTATTGACGAAATTTGAAAATTTAAGACTGAATTAGTGATCGAACAATAGATTTAGGAATTTTTGAACAATATTTCATCTGAGAAGGGATGCTACAAGTATAACTTATATCAAGTGTTTGGGTTGCCAAGATCGACATCAATGATGAAACGAGTCCATGCTTTTTTTTCTTCTCTCTACGCATTTTGCACATCCGAAGCATTTCGCTTGCAATTGATATTTGTGCTTTCATGAATTTGTTTTAATCAGCAAATGAAATATCCAGGGTCATCACGCAGCTTTCAATCGATATGGGTTCCCCTCTGCCACATAATTGAATTGCTCCCTCTCCACACCACACACACGCCCGAATTTGTCGGTGGAAAGGCGCAATTTCATTCGCTTCGGATTTGAGTTAATTGGAGAGAGACAGAGTTGTCAATATGTCTCTCGAATTTGAGTGCTTAAAGAAAACCCGATCCAAGTATGTTTTATAGTTTAAGCAATATCCTAATTTGAGTGATATCCTAATTTAAGGCTTCGTTTGTTTTGCGGAAAATATTTTCCTAAAAAACATTTTACTCATTTTCCGGCGTTTGGTTTGTTTAAGAAAATGAGTCAACAGAAAATATTTTCCCGATCAATGGAAAACCTATGCTTAGATTCAAGAAAATAATTTTCTCTTTGAAAAACTCGGAAAACATTTTTCAAAATATGACTAGGAATCGGCGCTTAGACCCAAAATTCCACGCTTGGACACGGGAACCTCAACGTTGGTTCCTGAGTCCCAGCGTTTTGGACCAGGTCTTCGACGCTTGAGTCCCTAGTGCTCACATCCAGGTCCATCTAGGTCAAGCCTGAAGTCTTGGTGCTCATGCTCGATGACTAGACACCTGAACCCGGGTGCATAAAGGCTGTGCTCAGGTCTTCGGCGCTCGAGCTTGGGTCCTTAGTTATTGAAATATTTGTTCTAATAAAAATATATCTTTTAAAAAGATTTATTTTCATTTTTATTAATTTTGTCTTTTCTTTCTTTTTCTTTTTGCTCGGGTCCTCGATGCTTGAGCTCGGGTCCCAGGTGAGGGACAAGTTTGCCCTAGGCCTGCGAGGCTCCACCGTGGCGACCGGCCAACGAGCTCATCCTTCGCATGTGGCCGATCTTTGGCGATAGGCCAAGGAAGAGAAAAGGAAAAAAAACGAACAAAATAAAAAAAATCAAACAAGACAGTGGTAAGGCTTTCTCAATTTTTTGAGTGAGTTCTTTGCTAGAGATTGTAATATAATATTTCTGGTTTTGCTTTGTGTGTAATATAGAGATGGGAAACTCTCAAGCGATTGTAAATTCTGTATTCTATGGATTCATAAGCGACTGGCTCCTCCATGGAACAAGCATCGACTCTCGAACTGAATCACGTAAATTTTTTGTGATCTTTATTTAATATTTTCATCTTGCATTAGACTTGAATGACAACGTCCATTATTTTTCGCGTTATTTCACAGCAGAGCTGGGAGGGAGGAGGAGTATGGGCGGCTACGATGGCAAGGATGGAGAGGCCATGGAGGACGTGGAAATATCTGGACCGTCTAATTGGAGATGCCAGATGCCAATTTGGATAATAAAGGTGTTAATCATCGCATCAACAATTTTAGTCGGTCGTGTTTATGGAAGAAGGGCAACGTAGAGACCAACTCAAAAAAATTCAAGAACTATATTAGATACCGAAAAAAAAAAAGTTTAGTGACTATTCATGATAGCCTTTGAAGAAACGAGGCGTTAGAAATTCGAAAAATTAGGTGAGATGAAAAACGAGAGAAATTAGATCAGATTTCATCAATAGTCATTAAACTTAGGTGGGATTTGCAATTCGACCATTATTAAACTTTAATTTCAATCACTGAATCGAATTTTCTACTTTTTTGCGATTGATGCACTTTCGTTGGAACCTGATCAATTACTTCAACCGAACATTGATACGGCGAACACGTGATCTTGACATGGCGTCCACCCTAATGCCACTTCAGCCCTCTGCTACCGGCACAAAGGGTCGTGTTGCCCTCTACGACAGTGGCGGCGGATGACATGACCCTTTGCAATGCCGAGCAGGGTCACCCGAGCCTTGACGATGGCAAAGGGCCGACGATGCTCCGTAGGCAACTAGACAGAGGGTCGGCGACCCTCCACAGAAGGTAGTAGAAAATGAAAATTCAGAGATCATATTGCAAACACGTCGTTATTTTAGTGATCATCAATGAAATTTACCAAAGAAATCTAAGTTCAGAAATCAATATGACTCACAAATCGAAAAGGACTAGTAGAACCATAAATGGAATGTCGATGGTATAGATTCCTCCATATGATAAAAGAGAATTCCATATGATTATATTTCACTTTCAATGATGAAATTTTCTAAGTCAATGTGTGTGATGCTTCTATATATTTCACTTCGACTTACATATCGTGAAAGAACTCGTACGTCTTGATATCTTCTGTAATGAACCTTACCGCACCAATGCAGCCCAAGACGGCGACAACGGAGAACCATGTCGCTACGGCCAAGTTGAAGACTCGAATGAAAGTGCGCAGTTTCAAGTTTTTGGGCATTCTTCCGGCCTTTAGAAATGCAATGGCGGGGAACACAAAGTCAAGCGGTGTAAAGCCAACCGCACCACAGACGGACACAAAATCTCCGAAGAATGGCATTGCAGCGGCGACGAGAGTAATCACGACCATGTAAATGGAAGTCAGAATCAGACGGATGAGGCGATCACGGAACGGGAAAGGGGAGGCGTGCTTGTCATGAAGCATTCTGTCCTCAAAGTATGCGTATGTTGGCCTGCAATATATCTGTATGCAGAAACTTATCAATATCACTAGGAAGATTGTACTTGTCTAGGAGTTTTCATCTTCAATTATGTGAATCAGATCAGCATACAAGGAACTTCGAAATGGCAAAGTAACACTGACTTTGACAAGCCCCACATAAGTACAAAAAGTAATTACAGGAAGTGAAATTACATGTTTTAGGAATAAACTAGGAACAAAAAGAAGCGTAACCTATGAGTTCACGTGAGTTGGTTGCACTGGTCATGGCATTCGTGAAGTATGAAACAAAGGATCAACATTCCGACATTTACTATCGAGATGTCCGAGGTCCATTTGCGCTCACATCCATCTACTTGTCCTAATATTTACAGGATTTATCTCATTTAACGGTCATTGATCCCCTAATAGTCATTTAAACCATCCTACAGAAATGGTTGACTACATACAGCTACATGATCATCTTCTTCATCTCCTGTTCTGTGCAGAGAGAATCATGAGGCTTCCTTCTAAGTGAAAATTACGTAACAGAAAGACTACAGTTTTTTTTATCTTCGTGAAAAGATAGGATATAAAATTCCATGTCCTACTTCTAATGCAGCAGCAAGACCTTTCTTTGGCATCCTTCCAAAGAAAACAGTGCTAATAAAGGTAGTTCCAAATCTAGCATAACCCTCTAATGAATGGCCACAATACAGTGAGGGTCATTAAGAAGATATCATTAATGCCTTTTTCAGTTGTTGCTTCACAATCACAGAGGTCTCTATTATGTACAGAGAATTCTAAGTTTTCAAATCGACAGAAAATCACAAACATTGGCTATCAATTCGTAAAAATACATGGGCCTACCTGAAAGCATCCTGCTATTTGAATCACGGCAAAAATATTAGCCATGATGATTGTCCAATCCGGATTTGTCAGAGAAGCCAAGATATAAGGCTCCACATCTGATCCAAAAGCCCAGTACCCACAGAAGGCCAATTGCCAGTAGCTTAATAAGATTATGGTGTATGCTGCCGACACGCCTTTGTACATGTTCCTTCTTGCAGGTTCTCTCACGGTATGCTGATGAGGGGACGGCTCAATTTAAATCTCGACTTCTCCAATCGAGAGCAAAAGCATTTCAAGGCTTGACTTAGAAAGCGCATTTGAAAATGGAACTAAGAAAACAGAAGGAAAAGAGGAGGCTCGGTTAATGTACCACACGATATGTCCAAGAAGCTCTACCTGTATTTCTGGAAGCATTGCATCCCCAAATGAGAATGCTATTGCACCGAGTGCATTGAAGGCTTTAAACACTTTTGACGAGGAGCTTCCTTGCAGACTGTAACTGACTGTTTCCCGATCGATTTCTTTCCCTGAATGGCAACCAGTAATCTCAACCTAAGGATGCAATAATGTGACGTCGAGTTTCTGAAAGAGAGTAATATAGAGTGATTGCTGCGACTTAAAAGTACCGTTGTAGATTGTCACACCAATTGTTGTGCCAGCAAAACCAATCGTGCAGAATGTGCATATTGCGTTGACCCATCTCAAAGAGTGGATGTCGGGGAGCTGGGAGAGGAGAAGCTCGAAGGCTCCGAAGAAAACAATGAAATGCTGCAGTTTCAGAGTCCCGTCCTTTTGATAGTATTTATAGATCGCCTTGGAAAACAACACACAGAAGGATGGAGAATGTCAGAAGGAAGAAAGAGAAAAACTGATGCCGGATGACAGACGAGGTATTCATGTTTTCCACAGCAAGGGTAGGAAAGCTAGTCTAACCTTAAGACTACTGCCGGCAGCAATTTGAATTGCGATGTTGTTCCCCAATGAAGCGACCTGCTGAAAAAATGCAATAGACCAATAACCCCAGGAACCTATAAAAATAAGAAGAAAGAATAAGTCGAATAAACAAGTGAAAAGGGAAAAAAACAAGACATCTCCAGTTGCAAGCGCTGTTTACGTGGCGATGAATGGACAATAATTTATGTCTTTGGAATCTCTGGATCTTTCAAGACGAACCTTCATGTCATTATGCCTCAGCAGCAAAATAACTCCCAAGTTCTACAGTAATGTCCGAAATTTGAGTGCATCTAGAGGAATTCATGTGATCGCTCAAACGTTAAAGTTAGATGTTCAAATTCCATTTCTCCTCTTAGCTATAAACTGTACCGTAACAAACCTGTATTTAGCTTGCAGCAGCATTTCAGGTGCTCGCTGATGATTTTTGAGATAAATCTAGTCAGACTAAGAAGAACACGATCCTAAGTTAAAGCTTCATGATTAGTCACATAATGTGGCACTGATTACCTATTCACCGAATTATTGCATTAAGCTAAAAAAAAAAAAACTATTTTATTGCAGTCGGTTAGACAAGTTTGCTGCAACCAATACAGATCTTTCTATAAATAGACATGGCGATGTATCCACTGAAAGAGCCAATAAGATGAGCTTAAAGACTACTTTCCAAAAAGATGACACCCCTGTGCAAGCTATGCCTGGAAAGAATGGTTAAAAAAGGACTACTCCAAAACCAAACAACAGAGGAGTAATGGTGAATCAGCGGGATTTTGCCCTCTAAACACCAACATTTAACGAAGATAAAACTGATAGAGCAGACAGTAACACGAACCGAATATGCTCTGGGCGAGATGACGGTACGTGACCTGCTTCTTCCCATTCCATCTCCAGAGAGACGCGATCAATAGACTGGAGTACCATGTGGCCAGCGTCGCACCAACCAGGCTACTAACACCTGAAACCAGCAACAGCCCAAATTTAACATCTCAAGTAACTTGATGATGATGATGATGATGATGGGGTAGAGAGTCAAGCAACAAGATAAGCAAAATTTCTAAAGTGTTGCGTTTCTCGTGTAGCGTGTAATCAATGGTTTTGAAGATCAGAGGCATTTCGCTTAAAAGGCGTCCAAGCCATCAGTGGTTAACAACATCTTAGATAATAAAGAAAGATGGAACCCACTTCACTTCTAGTACTGTTCCGTCCCTGAAGACCCAAAAAGGAAGGGGATTAAACAGATCAAATTTGATATAATCACCAAAGCTCCAGATCAAACAGGTGCTATTTGCTGAATTCGGAAACATCAAACAGGTGCTATTAGTATTCGAGCCAACTTCGGTCGTCGTCAGCGTCCAGACAAACACAGAGATTCCACCGCCCAAATCGAAGAATATCGCCATTTATTCATTTGTCTTCGTCAAACACCAAACAAGAAAAGCCAGAAAAAGCATACAAAAAAGAAGAAATACAAAACATAGAACCTGAGAGAGAGAGAGAGAGAGAGAGAGAGAGAGAGAGAGAGAGAGAGTTACCGAGAGGCCAGCCGAGAGAGGCGAGAGCGAAGGGCAGAGGAGCGTAAGCAGCGGGAGTAGCGATGGTGGTGGCCACGTGGAAGGCGGCGTGCTTCCACGTGCCCCTTCCTCCCTCCTCCGCCGCCGCCGCTTCTCCTGCTGCTCCTGATGCTGCTTCTTCTTCACGGTCACCGGCCGTGACATGCGGAGGCGTCGACGGTTGCGACACCATCTCCCGGCGTTGGGGGGAAGCCGTGGGACGGCGGGGGAGCGGGGAGACTCCTTTGTATGTTTTTGACTTTGTGATGTGTTGCAGTGGAAGAACGCAACTCTCTCTATTTTTTTCGTTGGCTTTGAATATCTCACGAACGCGAACGGGAAGTCTTGTTGGGGTCCCAGTTCGGAGAGCGAAAGAAAGAGAGAGAGAGCGGGGTGCCGACTCCCGAGGCTGAAAACCGGCGCCGCCAGGACCCGGTCGAACCGGAGAGCAACGTGGTCACGTGGCACTTTGCAAAAACCGGGATCGTTGCGGTAACGTACGGAGAGTACCGCGCTGTACGAAAATTGTCCGGAAAGCATTAAATCTATTTCCCTTTTGCTATTTCAGTCCGAAACGTTTTAATTGTGCTAATTAAATCCTAAAAAATTTTCAAGCTTTGTCAATTGAATTCATCAGGTTAATTTTGATGACTGACGTGGATATTGGCCGTCTTGTGCGGCATAATTGACACTGACGTTGACAATTTTTTTTATAATATTTTAATAATTTTTCGATTATATATTTATTTTTTTCCTTTTCTTCTTTTCTTTCTCTACTTTTTTCTTTTTTTTCTTTTGTCGTTTTCTCTTCTTTTCTTTTTCTTTCTTTTTTTCTCTCCACCGGCCATCGCCTCGCCTTGTCGACGGCCGGCGGAGGTCGCGTCGATGGCCAGCCCAGGTCGTGTCGCCGGCCTCAAGCGAGGGCAAACCCTCTTTCGATCTAGGGAGGGCCGCCCTCGTCAGCCCTTGACAAGGGCTGCCCTCGCTTGAGGCTGGCGGAGTATAAAAAAGAAAAAAACAAAATAAAAGAAAAAGGTAAAGAAGGAAAAGAGAAGAAAATAAAAAAAGGGAAAAAATTAATAAAGAAATCGAAAAATTATTAAAAAAGCATTCACGTCAGCGCCGGCTGAGACATGTAGGGTGACTCGCGTCCACGTCAGCGATTCCGGCTAAAATTGATTGGATGGACTAAATTGGCAAAATGTGAAAAGATTTAGGACTCAATTACAATTAAAATATAAAAAAAAGTGCAATATATTTAAGACTTTTTGAACAATTTTACCTCGACGTTGCCTTTATTTTTCACCAATTAAAAAGGAAAAAAACAATTACATAAATGTATGTCTCCACCCTCGTGAAGCAGAATAAATTTAAAAATAATAAAGGTACGTGAATAAAAGTCAATGTGCTATAAAAATGAATAATTCTATTAAATTACCGTTACATAGTAGTTTCCCGATTTTAGGCCTACAAAGGGATAAGATTTTGCGGCCTAATCAGGTCAAAATGGAGAAAAAATATTGGGTAGTCTTGATTTTACACATCCGCTATAAACCATTCTATTCATTGACCATCACGTGTCAAAGTTATTCCACTTTTCACATTTCTTTTTTCACTAATCGGCACCAGCCGAATCGTGAATGGAATGGCCTATGGCCGACGGGGAAAACCAGGGCTACTTCATATTTTCTTCAGAATGGATTAGCAAAATTCATTAATATGCGGGCCAGGCGTAATTCACTATGTTAACTAGCGCGTCATCACCTAACCTCGGATATTCGAGGGAAGAATATCAATTCCATTACAACAGGTATTCATCACAACAGGTAATCCCCGCGTACAAAAACTGTACAACGTCAACGACTCTTCTCTTCACTAGACCTGACCCCACTTGCTACTTTGGACTATTCAAATGGCTTCTAATTTCTTACCCCAAGTAGGGAAGGGTGAAACAATGGACCCGGAGATATTGCGTCCATTCCATCTCAGCCGTGCATCTCGTCGACGTCGTTCCGGCACGGGGGGACACAAGTCATGGTACAATTTGTGGGACACAGAATAGGGTGATGTCGTCCACATGATGTCCTGGAGCTGGCACATCGGATTGGATTCTTCCCGAATGAATCATACCGCTTCAAGAACCAACCAGACCCTTGCGCCGAGCATAGGAGATTATAGATAGGAAAATGGATCCACACACAACTCCAGCGACAATGACCACCTGAGAGTTTTCCCCCAGTGAGCATTAACATGAATGAAAAACCTTCCATCGCGTTTTGCGTCTGTTTTACAAAACTTAAGAATCAGGCTTTCTTAGAGAAGGTGATCGGATGAGATTTGCGTACCCATTTGAAGATGTAACCATGACCTTCTCTCCACGTGTATTGAAGATTCATGCCAAATATCGCCGCTACCAGAGAATACACAGACAAGCACAGAGTTCCTGAACTGAGGAAGAGCTCTAGCTATGGCCAGTTCAAATATAGTATACTTTAGTGATGAACATAAAATCTTCGTGCAATGGAGATTTATTTGGTTGATAACAAAGGTGCCAACGGAGGTCAATTTCAAGAATACCTAGTGGAGTTTTGCGTATCTTGCGAATCCTACCTGTATAAGCTGGTTCCGATGATTATCAAGCTGTAAAAAGACAAAAAGCAGATCAAAATGTCACTAGTCACCACTACGTATTCTAACAATGTTCAGTAACCAAAGAGCAAAATAGTTTGAATTACATGTTACATAGTTGAGGATATGGTTCGCGATTCTCCAAAAGCTTACCTGAATATTGATGTAATCCTCAGTATCATCAATGTATTCACGCAACTGAGAGAGAATAAATAGAATCAGCTTCCAGGAATGGTACAGTTTAGTCTACTGAGATAATTCTAAAGAAATTTTCATTAAATTGCTGTAAGAAAATTTGTTAGGCAACATGATGAAACAAAGAACTGGTGCAAGGATATCAATGACGATGCATACCGTTGACAATTTGTTTAAAGTGCCGTCAATTTGCATGAAATATGCCTGCAGAAAAGCATCAGTATCACTTATGGACTCTCAATGAGCTAAATGAGACTGTTGATTGAATTTATCTGACCTCCAGCAACATTTCGAGTTCCTCAACATCATTTTCCTCATGAGCTGTTGCTGCACTGGCCCTACTTGTTCTGGATAACTTTGAGCCAGTTGTAGGAGAGGCAAAGAACCAATCTGGAGCTCCAGACCCGCTGACAGGAGAAGACGCCGCAGCGAGTTTCCTTGACAAATAAAGGTCTGCCATGTCATCGTCGTCGTCAAGAAGTTCTTCCAGTTCATCTCTCACCTGGACACCAATATCACTTGAAATTAGGTCTTATTTAACTGAGTATTGGCTGTTGATAACACTGGAACTGGAATCATCAGACAAATAATTTTCTGCAATAAATGATAATGTAATGAATACGTTCATGGTTTGATTGAAAGCGTAGATGATCATCTCAACTTAATGCATAAAAGACACAGGCATTGAAAACACACCATAATATTAAACAGAAGAACAGAGCATTGAACAATATCAATGAAGATGGAGATGGACTGCATCAAACGCGCTGTACATTAATTGCAGATAGTATCATAGTTGAGCAGATGATTCGCACTTAAAATTTTTCCACTACAATCTAGTTAGATGGAGAGATCAGACCAAAATTGCAGATAGAAAAGTCAGCAAGCGCGATGCTACTTGAATTCAAGAAAACAATCTAAGGCAAGGTTCTGTGCAGCCAAGCAGGGATATCGTCAAAGTCAAATCCATTTGCAATCCCCCATGCGAAGTACTGTAAGAGAAAATTCATCATTCCAAACCCATTGATGCCCCAAATAAATAATTTAGAAATGCCATGTCGTATACAGATAAATGGTTCTGCAGGGAGAGCATTATTCAAATAAATGGGAGCTATTGACAGCTAAACTGGCATTTGAGGCACGAGATGTAGTGTGGGGAGCTTACTAGATGAGATATCTTCATAAGCAGCAATAAAAAGTAAAAAAAATGATATATTCCTCTGTGATAAGCAATGTCAGTGCTACTCTGTGACAAAACATCCATTCTGCTTATAGAGCATGAGGGTGTGGCATTTTCCATGCTTACAATGCTTAATTTGCCGGGGAATCCTTGTAACTCTAATGGCGGCTAACTTATGCAGCTGTTGTTCCCTCCTTAATACGCAAAGGTTGATTTCTAATCTCCGAAGCAAAACCAAACCTTTGATTTCATTGTTATATTGATTCCCACGAACTTGATTCTCTAGAGTTCTGTTTTTCTTTGTAGAATCTACAGTTTTGTTTTCATTAGTGATTTCAAAAGCATGGGGCGCTACCGATGCAACAACGAAAAAATCCTCTTCATCAATTCTATCGTGGAAAAGACAGGATCTTTTATTGAGTGCTGCGAACATAGCAAATAGTACAACTTGGTTTTCTGATATTACTACTAGATTTCTTTTCTTGGATATCTTTTGGGAGGATAGAGTATCAACCAATCATTTATCCAGTAAAGCTACTTGTTTTGTATTAATCTTGAATCCAACAAAGTTCAGGCCGATAAGTGAGAAGGACAAATATGCACAGTCATTAAGAGAGTACAGAAGCAGAAAAGAAAGGTATAAGAAGATGTGATTGTGTAAGCAGCATATCAAGAAAGCATAGAGGCTCGAAATTCAAAGCACTAGATGTCAGAAAATTTTCTCGAGTTTCCTGTTTATTACGATGAAAAGAGATAGCCTAACCCATAGTCATCTCCACAAAAATTTGTATTACTAGGAACAAATGCCATTCATCTCACAGAGAGACAGAGAGAGAGAGAGAGAGAGAGAGAGAGAGAGAGAGAGAGAGAGAGAGAGAGAGAGAGAGAGGGTAGTTGAATATCCAAAATTAAAAGGTCCATTAGGTCCTAGGCCAGGTAATATATTTCCTTGTGATAGCAGTACAAAACCCACACTTTACTCTCCAAAAATGCACCCTTCATTCCAGAATTTATCTATTTTATATCAAATGCCTCTCTAACAGCAAGAACAAAAAGTATGTTTACCCTGTCACAAGAGTGGTAGCAGACCACCGATTAAATTTGTTGAGATCTGTGTCAGGTGTAATACTAAGAAAGTCACCACAAGCAGTAACAATTGACTTAAGTCTGAGAAAGAAGAAACTAGGTTGATGAAAACAATCAGTAATGCAAATTTATCAAGTGGAAAGTCATATATGGGTTATTAGTATCAATACTCCGATCCAATGAAAAGACAACCCATCACAGTTAACTATCTATCATTCAATAGGAATACTGAACTTATATATCCCTGTGAAGCGCTTTGACAATGCAGCCAGGATTGAGAACAAGCAGTCTATAAGCCTTTTCCCTGAATAAGACTGTTTGGTGATTGGAAGTACCTTATAAACCCGAACATGTATGCACTAATTTCAATACCTTCTGAACACGATTGGTCAATCTTGTCATAGAACTCTTCAATTTTCGCACTCGATCCAAATTGCGACTGCTAATCTGCAAACCTTATTTGTATTAACAGACAAAGAAATAAAAAGGAACACGGACCGAATATTTGAGCTGCTCTACCCATATAATGAAAAAAAGGAAAGGAAAAGCAAGTTTTCTGCATGCGTACTCCAGGCAGACATCATAGTACAAGACCCCCTGGAACGACAAATTTATTCTTTCGTCAATTCCCACAGAAAATAAGCAAACAAACAGAATTAAAGAAAGGCTCGCCTTTGAAGTCAACTCGTCTAAAGCTGGATAAGCATCAGTCTCCAGTTCTCTTGTGCGCGCATCAAGGAAACTACAGATAGCCTCCAATGCAACTTCTAATGCCCGGAATTCGAAAGGAAATTCTGCACAGTATAGCAAAATCACCAGCATCTCAATCAAGAAATTTCTCCTCTGGCAAATATCACATAGACAAAGCGATCACCGAACTAATCAAACGCCGGTGATTAGCAAACACTCTTTATCCTATCTCATCGTCGTTTAATTATTGGAGAAATATCAAAGAGCATCATCTGCTAAAAATAGCAACATGCTACCATTTTGCTCCCCGACGTCGGCGTCGTTGTTCGCTTCTTGCTGATCGTCCTCTTCACCTTGGAACTGACCGATTCCGGGCAACCGCCTCTCGAGTTCCTCGACGATCGGAATGACATTCTCATCTAATGGATCTCTAAGCAGCACCTATACAAAACCAGAAAGCAGTTCCTCACCAAAACAAAGTGAATCTCCCCAAAACAGACCTGAATCGTTCCCATTCACGGGAACTGAAAACAACAGAAGTACCTCCTCTGCAGTGACGATGGCTTTAATGTGCTGCAACTCCAGATCAAACAAGAAGAAACAACACAAGGAAAGCGCAGGCGAATCAGCGACCGCAACTCCAGAGAGAACTACTCAAGCGGACAAGACGGCGGACACATCGCCGAGCAGACGAATTACCTCCAGATTGAGGACGATCAGCTTCTCTCTGCCTAGGATCTTGGAAGGGTACGACAGCATCGGATCGAGCATGCGAAGATCTCGGGCGTGGATCCCCACCCGGCGCATGATCTCGTACTTGTCCACGTCCAGCAAGCTGCCCCGCCCCTCGCGGTCCAGCAGGACCCAGCTCCGAGAGAACGCCGCCTTCCTCTTCGGCGGGGCCAGGGCGTCGGCCGCGACCGCCGCCGCGGCGCCGCCGTCGTCGGGGGCCATCTCCCCGGAGGATACTTCCCCGAGCCGCCGCCTCTCCTGCTGCTCCGCCGTCGCTCCGGGACCGGCGGGCAGCGGCGACGGCCGGAGCGCCGCGAGGGCGGGTGGGCTCGGGAGGGTTGGAGGGGGCGTCGTTGTGCTAGCGGTGCAGCGGGAGTTGCGGGGAGAGAGAGAGAGAGAGAGGTGGGGGACGATGGCGACAGTGGCGGCAGTTAGTGTTAGTGTGAAGCGCGGGGGAAGAAGCGCTTGATGATGATTGGAAGTTACCAAAAGATACGTGGGGTAAAAGGGTTTCCCACCGTAGCTTGAAATGTACGTGCACTCATGCACTTACTATTATTTTTCTATTCTATTCTATTCTATCATATTCTATCCTACTATTATTATGAAAAAATGATATAAACAGTTCGTAAACTTTGGTCCGACGTGATTCCTGAACTTTTAATTTATTCAATTCGATTCCTGAACTTTAACACAATGTACAATATGGTTTGTCATCCCTGAACTTTTAGTACTTGTTCGATTAAATCTCTAAACTATATGAAAATGTTTAATGTAGTCCTTCAATTAATTCATGACGGACCGCATTGAACAAATTAAAAGTTCATAGACCACATTGAATATTTTCACGTAGTTTAGGGATTACATTGAACATGTACCAGAACTATAGAGACCGCATTGAACAAATTAAAAGTTCATGGATTACATTGAACATTGGGTTAAAGTTCAGATACTACATTAAACAAATTAAAATTTTATGGACCACGTTACACTTTGGGCCAAAGTTCAGGAACTGTTTATGTAATTTTCCCTTACCACGTCAAATGCCAACCGGACCAAATTGGCCCAAATTAAAAGTCAAGGTTCGAATTCTTATAGTGTGGAGTACAAACACTAATCATGACATTGGCAAGGTATATCATGCTCTTAAAAAAATGACACAAAACTTTGGCTCAACGTGCAAAGTTGTCTTTGAAATTTTAATTTGTTCAATATCGTCCTTGAACTTTAGCCCAATATGCAATATCATCCTTGAACTTTTAATTTGTTTAATGTGGTTCCTGCACTCTTGGTACATGTTCAATTTAGTTCTAATACTCAATATTATCCTTGAATTTTAATGGAAGGATAACATTTGGACTAAGTTCAAATACTACATTGCATATTAAGTTAAAGTTCATGAACTTCATTGAACAAATTAAAAGTTCAGAGGCGACATTGCACATTGTGCCAAAATTCAGAGATTATTTGCGTAATTATCCTCGCTCTTTAACTCATGTGCATTTATATATGTATTTCACGCGAATATAAATGGCCAGATCAATCATCCAAAATTTCCGATGCGTAATTCAACACTCATATAGCATCTAAAAGACATGATTTAATGTAGTAGGGATTATTGTGGGATGCAGTTTGTGTTGGATTCATTGGTTAAAAAAATGTCATACATACTAAAGATAGCACACTAAATTTTCCTAAACGATGGGATTTTGCTTAGAGGTGAGTATGGCTTGAGTTGAGCTGGTCCAGCACATAACCCCGGGACCAACCCGCACAGTATTAGTTCCCAATTTTTGGGACCAAGGACCAATCCTGTTGAGCCGAGGATCGAGGACCGGACCGACCCTATGGGTCTGGTCCGGTTCTAGGGTTAACTCAAGACCAACCGATTATTTTTTTGTTTCATTTTTTGTATTCCTTGAAAGCACAAACATACTCTTTCAAATTTCATATCCATCAACAATGCGACATTGAGCAACCAAATTATGAATACCCATACATATCAAACATAACTCTAATATATAACAACAGAAATCTCCATTTGCTAAAAGCAACAAACCATAAAAAATGAACGCGTGAATTATAATTAATTCATAAGAAGTTCAAAATACGTAATATAAATCATGAATGCACTTTACCATACATTTTTTTTTTGTCTTCTCATCTATGATCCTCGGAAAATTATCCCACGCAATGGATTTATCTATTTTTCACTTCTTACAAAGAGGAGGATCATTAGTAGATACCTTGGTCGACTCTTTTAAGTCTTCCTCACATCCATGGCCTGGCGATTCCATCATCGGACTCATTTCATAATATCCCTCTACTTCAGTTGACATGTTTTCTAAATTCATCAAGTTCACTTATATACTAGAGTGTAATCAGTAATTGCCAAAGACCTCACATTTATCACTTAGGACACATACGTGCAACAACCAAAACCATGTTTATCTAGTTAAATGAATGACAAACAAAGCAAAGTGAGGACATGATTTAACACCTATGAGGTGAGCGATAAGCGAACAGAGTGAGGCAATGAAGAGGGTTTCCCAGGTGAGCGGCGAGGAAACAACGCGAGGCAAGGAAGAGCGTTTCTATTTTATTTTTTTTTGGTCAAATTAGTGCTGGGTTAAGTGGGTTTCTACTTTCTAATTTATAATTTTACATGGCAGAACCACATGAGAAAGAACATAGGGGACGGTACTAGGGTAGGGTTTAAAGTGGACGAAAATATATAATATATACACGGTTTGACCAACTCTAAAGTCTAAGGACCAAAGACCAATTCGTACAGTGCAGGGTCCGAGGGTTTCAGGACTAAAAACTGGCCCATTCCCCCTGGGAACCGGACCAGGATTTGCCGAGTTGGGCCGATCTAGGGTTGGTCCAGGATCAACCCTGGACCAATGCTCACCCCTAGTTTTGCTAGCATAACAATCTTTGGATCATTGTGAGTGTTATGGGTCACAAATTCTTGAAAAAAGTGAACTCCACAGTAATTTTTTATTTTTTATTTTTTATTTTTTTTTTGTCTTGAACAGATTGATATCCTCACAGGTGATTAAAGATTATTACCTAATCATTTCTCTTACCAGTAAATGAAACGAATTCATTGGGCCTAATTTTGTAGTTACTAAATAAAAAAGTATAAATATATGAGGCCACGTCATTTTATAAAGAAAATATAATAAAAGTTTGATATCTTTGACATTGCTTCATATTTCCCTTTCACTCTCTCATCTCAATCCTCACCGGGAACCCACCCTGCATCTTCGAGGTCAAGTACGAATCGAACAACGGCTCGGCCCCTTCCTGCGCCGCCGGCACCACTTTGAACCGTTGTAGTACCCCGGCCACCACCCTCTTCATCTGCAGGAACGCCATTTCCTTCCCCAGACAAACCCTCGGCCCTGCCTGGAAGACCGGGTACGAGAACGGGTCCCTCCCAACGAACACCCACTTCTCACCGCCGCCCTCCGCCGCCTTTAGCCAACGCTCCGGCTTGAACTCAGGCCAGTCCTTTCCCCACAGCTCCTCCAACCTCCCCATCGCGTACGGATGGTATGTCACCCTCGTCCCCTTCTTCACCACCGTGCCGTCCTCCAAGACGTCGTCCCTCACCGCCTCTTTCGTGTCGAGCGGCACCGGCGGGTAAAACCGCATGCTCTCACACAGCGATGCGTGCGTGTACACCATCTCCTTCACATCATCGTAACCTGCGGCATGTGCATCGGACTTCTCCATGATCTCAACCCGGACTTTGGCCTCCACCTCCGGGTTCTTGTGGAGCAGCCAGAAGTACCACGTAAGGGCCGCCGACGTGGTGTCCCGGCCGGCGAGTATGAAGCTGATGACGATGTCAGCCACAAAGTCCTCGTCGGAATGGCCCGAGCTCAAGAACCGCGATAGGAGGTCCTCGGCGGCCGACGACTTTTCGCTCAGCTCTCGCTTCTTTTCCCTCACGATTTTCTTCGCAAACTCATGGACTTTAGAGATCGCGACCCGGAGGCGCTTCTCGGATCCGACGTTGAAGAAACGCTTGATCCTCCAAATCACTGAGAACAACTCGAGAAACCTCTCGATGCTTATTTTCACCGCGTCTTCAAACGCTTCCGCGAAATTTGCCTGTCGAATATCAAAGGGAAATTATCAAAAAAATCATAAACATGTTACAATCGTACCAATTTAATTCTAAACCTTTTTTTACCAATTGAGTCATAAACATTTTATATTTATACTAATTGAATCCATCCGGTCAATTTTGATAGGAAATTGCTAACATGGACGCTGGCTGTCGTACGTGACGATGTGGATAATTTTTAATAATATTTTTTTGATTTCTATTTCTTATTTCTTTTTCTTTTTCCTTTTTTTTTCTTTTCTTTCTCTTTCTTTTTTTTCTTTCCTTCGTCCTCTAGCCGGCCGGCGAGCAACAAGGTTGACCTCGCCCGCCTCTAGCGAGGTCCGGCGACCGTCCAAAAGAAGAAGGGAAGAAAAGAAAAAGAAAAAAAATCGAAAAATTATTAAAATATTATTAAAAATTATCCAAGCCAAGGTCGGCCACGTCATATAGGACGGCTGGTGTCCATGTCAGCGATTTCCTGCCAAAATTAGCTGGATAGACTGAATTGGCACAAATGCAAAAGATTTAGGACTCAATTGAAAAAAATTGTTCAGAATTAAATTGGTACAGTTGAAATATATTGAAGACCTTTTTGATAATTCTCCCAATATCAAATAATTCATTCACGAGTGATGTTGTTTGGCGAGACTCACGCTAAAGCTCACATCTTTTATATCTGTAATATAGTGAAATGAGTCTGGGAAATACTTACTCTCGGCTGAGGAAGTGACGGCGATAGATACTCGGCATCGTACCCGAACGCGATCTTGCATATGTTGTCAAAGGCGAATCTATGGAGCACGTCCTGCATGTCTATCACTGCCCTGCTCTTGGCCGCGAAAGCCAGGAGCGGCAGGAGGCGCTCGTTCAGCTCGGCATCGACGACGGTCTCGACAAACTTCCGTAGCGACCGGGTGTTGAACTCGTGGCTGGAGACCTGCCTCTGGAACTTCCAGGACTCGCCGTCGACGACGTTGAAGATCCCGTCGCCGAGGATGTCCCGGAAGGTCGTCTTAAGGACCTTTCCCTTCTCGTAGTTGGCGAAGTGGGTCTTGAGGATATGCTGGACGTTCGCAGGGTTGCCGGTGATGACTTGGCAGTGGCCGAGCGGGCGGTGGAAGAGGTAGGTCGCCGAGGGGGAGTTCCGGATGAGGTCGGCGCTCCAGTCGATCCGCCTTTTCCAGTTGGCGAGCAACGAGAAGTAGGAACCCACGATAGGGTAGACTCTCGGGAGGTTCTTCGAGGAGGAAGGCGGCGGCAACGACGACTTGAAGAAGAAGAAGAAGAAGACGACGCTGATAATGACGGAGAGCGATGGGAAGATGATGAAGAAGTGAGAAAGTGAAGAAAAGAGATCAAAGCACGACATGATGGTTGAGGAGGACAGGAGGAGGAGATCGTTGTGTATGTGGCGATTGGGCTGTGATTAGTTTCGTTGGTTTTAAGGATTTCATTGCCCCGCATCTGATTATCATATGATTTAAGGAGCACCGCATATTCTCTCGTGCATATGCCATATTCACACTTTCAGAGGCAAATGCTTCCACCACATTTCGTTCATGTCAAGGCTCCGATGGCAATGATCCTGTTTCGAAAACGTAACAAATCAGCATCCGGCATGTTTTTTTGGTCGATAGCATTCGGCATATTTACTATTCTATTATTTTGGGGGAGGGGGGCCACGTTAACGCTCCTGTTTGTTTCGCGAGACAACGAGCGATTTGGAAAGTATTTTCTATCGCTCGTTTTTCGCGAAACAAATGCACACAATAGTCCATAAATTTCGGCCCAATGTATAATATCATATTGTACTTTTAATTTATTCAATGTGATCCTCGAACTATTCCTAAATATTCAATATAGTCCCTCAACTGTGCCTAAATGTTCAATGTCATCATTCGGTACGATTTACAAGTTTTTCTACTAAAATAAAAAAAATTGAAAATTTATTTAAATATTATTTAAAAATGTCCACATCAGCGCCGGCCACGCAACGTAGGACAGTTGGCATCCATGTTAGCGATTGCTCGCCAAAATTGGATGGATTGACTAAATTGGCATAAATGTAAAAGGTTTAGGACTTAATTGGCATAATTATAATAGGTTTATGACTGTTTTGGTGATTCTCCCGATTTGAAATTAGAAGCACTTCGATGTCAATAAATATTCTTGAGCTTCTTGCTTGTTACGATGAAAAGAGATAGCCTAACCCATTCAATGAAATTAACAGATAAGGAGTAATACGCAAAAAAATTGTATTACTGAAACGCACCTGAGAGAGAGAGATAAATATCCAACATTAAATGGTCCATTAGGTCCTAGACGAGGAAACATGTTTCCTCATGATAGTAGTACAAAATCGACAATTGCTCTTCAAAAGTCCACCCCCTTCATTCCAAAATGTATCATGCTTTTTATTTGTCAAAATAACATTTCATTCATTTCGATAAAAAAAGAAAAATAACGCAGCCCAACTACAAATTAAAATAAATCCCAAACAACTTCAAACTAAAACAAACTTAAGATAAAAAGATGTATTATAGAATAAGGTTAGGGGCTACCCACTCCACTAAAAAAACAAATCCGTAATTTCTTCAAATCAAAATCGGCAGCTGATCATCGAATTCATTTTCACTAACAAGCACATACCAAGATCTTCATTTGTTGCTAGGGCTTTGTCTTTCGGGATCGTGCACCTAAGTTCGGTGCTTCAAACACCAGCGTCGTCCAGAGTAACAAGGTTAAACGAGCATAGATCTGATACATGTGAAGGTGAAACCTTCATAAATCTCCTTTGAAATTGAACTTGTATACCAACGAAACTCGAGAAAATTAAAACCACGAAATCATACACGCCAAAATCCCCAAATCTATACTTGCTCATGATAGAAAAGCTTCGCAAAACAGGAGGAAAGCAAGAAAAAGAGAATAGAGAACCAAATCAGCCAAAGAAAAAGGAAAAAAAGGAAGGGGAGGGAGAGATGCAAACATTTGAGGCCCGTCTTCAGTTTCTTTAAAAAGAGGTGTCCGATATATGCTAACTTTTGTCGATGATTACTTAAGGAATGTATGGGTACACTTTATAAAGCACAAATCTAACGTGCCCAATCGATTCAAGAAGTTTAAGACACTAATTAAGAAGCAGTCGGATAAGCAAATCAAGTGCCGAAAAACCAATAACGCCATGAAGTTTTGTGGTAGATATTTTACCAAGTTCCGTAAGAAAGAAGGGATTGCAAGGCATCGCACGATCCCTAGGACACCACAATCGAGAGCGAGCTGCGTGCATGATTTTGCATGCATAGGTGGGTAAGAAATGTTGGGCTGAAGTAGTAAATACAACATGTTACCTAATTAATCAATCTGCATCACCTACTATGGCGTGAAAAACTCCTAAAAATGTATGGTGTCAATAGTAAGGCGATGGAGATTGATTAATCAGGTAACGTGCCATATTTTCTACTTCAGCCCAACATTCCCTACTCACCTGAATTAAAGGATGTAGAGTGGTCCATAATGTATGAACAATTTTCACTATGTGGCATTTATTAGAAAAAATCATCAAAGTTGATCATAATTTTTTTTAGGATAAGTGCAATGGAAGTTCTTAAACTTGTTACGAAAGTGCAATTGAGTCTTAAAACTGTAAAAAATATAATCAAGTCATAAAACTTATCAAGTTGGTGTAATTAAGTTCTTCTGTTAATTTTGTCCAACTTGACAAACGGAGAATGCTTACGTGACATTTTTTAAATTAATTTCTCTCTCATACATGGCATTTTTTATCATTTTCTTTTTCCAATTCATGAATTAGATTAAATAAATTAAAAAGGATAATTTTTTTTACAAACCAAGTAAAAATAAATAAATAAATAAGCCCTTACTCGTAGCCTCCGCCGCCGTTGCTAGGAAGGGCCAATAGAGCTCACCTAGGCTTATCGAAGCCTGACGAGCCTTATTGGTCCTAGCGAGGGCCTCTTGGCCTAGATTTAGGGGAGGGTGCGACCCTAGCCCTAGATCTGGGGACACCTAGCGACCCTCGCTCAAATCTAGAGCGAGGGTCACGCCCTCCCCCAAACCTCAGCCAATAGGCTCTCGCTCGAGGTTGGTGAGGCTCTGGCAACCTCTGTTGGCCCTTTCCAGTGGTGGCAACCATCGGCCAGGGCTTGCGATGTGATTTAGTTTGTGTTTTCATTTGCAGCTTACATTTTTTAACTTTTAGCTTTTTTATTTTTTTAATCTAATTTATTTTGCATTTATTTTTAATTTATGAATATTTTTATGATGTAGCACTTGGTGGGCACCACATAATCGCCACGTGTCTTAAGAAAGAAATAAAATATGACACGTCAGTATTTTTCGTTGATCTAGTTAAACGGAGTTAACAATAAGGACTAGATTAAATTGGTATGACAAGTTCAATGAGTTGATTGTATTTTTTAAAAGTTTTAGAGCTTAATTTTATGTTTGTGATAAGTTTTAACATTTTCAATCCACCTATCCCCTTTCTTTATGACCAATTCTATGAAGAAAGAAAAGAAAAAAGGAAATTCCCTCTTGAAGGCCACACGTGATCCATGCCCATCCTTTGAATGATGTTTCACTGCTGAAGGGATGCTTTCTGCCTCCTCGCGCTTCCCAACATGTGAAGTCTTGGAGTTGTCCTCTGAATATGTCCGCCTCCTTATCCCAAACAGTTGCTTTGCTTATAGTCATCTCTGTCTCTCTCGCACGCGCACACACGCATGCCCGGCCAACGAAAGAAGATAGAAGTCGGGCCATCTTCGAGAAGCTCTATTATCTGAATATGCTAAGGTGCTGCATAAAGCCATTGATTCTGTCAAGAAGCGATTTTTGTTCAGAATCGGTTTTGACTGAACTCGTTTGTAACGATTTCGTTTTTATTTAAGGACGAGTTTGCTTGGCGATTACGAAACAGAAATGAGAACCAAAAAAAAAGTTGGTTTTCATTTGGAACAAAAGTGAGAACCATTTCGAGAATTCATTTTCTTCATGGCGTATTCATATGGAAGTCACGATCTTTGAGGTGAGAAAAAAAGCAAAAATCAAAAATTTCAAAACTTAACAGAATGGTTTTAGAATGCGTGGCTACCACTTTCATTGAAATTTTAATTTTTTTAGGTAGAAAAAATAAATAAAAATAAAAAATTTCAAAATTTCACAAAATGGCTTAAACCATGGTCACCCACTTTGAGCAAAATTTAATTTTTTAGTTGCCAAAAAAAATAAAAAATTCTAAAATTTAAAAACTTCACGGAATATCTTAGAATACTGTGGCGATTTGAGCGAAATTTTATTTTTTTTAGGTGCCAAAAAAATAAAAAAGCAAAAAGCAAAAATTTCAAAACTTCACAGAATGGCAGAATACTCAGTAGCCATCCACTTTGAGTGAAATCTAAATTTTTTTAGGTGCCGAAAAAAATAAAAAAAATAAAAAATTTCAAAACTTCACAGAATAGCTTAAAATACGCTCTCCACTTTGAGTGAAATTTAAATTTTTTATATGCCAAAAAAATAAAAATAAGCAAAAAAGTAAAAATTTCAAAACTTTACTGAGTGGGCTTAAAATACCATGTGACCACCACTTTGAGCGAAATTTTATTTTTTAGGTGCGAAAAAAAATAAAAAATAAAAAATTTAAAACTTCACAAAATGGCTTAGAATACCTGTGGCCATCCACTTTAAGGAAATTTAAATTTTTTAGGTGCGAAAAAATAAAAAATAAAAAACTTCACATAATTGTTTAGAATACAACCATGCTTTGAGTGAAATTTAATTTTTTTAGGTGTAAAAAAATAAAAATAAGCAAAAAAGAAAAATTTTCAAAACTTACATGAGTGGGCTTAGAATACATGTGGCCATCCACTTTGAGTGAAATTTAATTTTCTTTAGGAACCAAAAAAATAAAAAATAAATAAAAAATACCATTTGGGCATCTAAAAAAATTAAATTTTACTCAAAGTGGGTGGATTAAAGGTATTGTAAGTCATTCCGTGAAGTTTTGAAATTTTTGATTTTTTATTTTTTTTCACCTAAAAAATTTAAATTTCACTCAAAGTGGATGACCACATGTATTCTAAGTCATTTGTGAAGTTTTGAAAATTTTGATTTTGCTTTTTTCACCTCCAAAAATTAAAATTTCACCAAAGTGGGTGGCACAGGTATTCTAAATTCCATTCTAAAGTTTTGAAATTTTTGAGTTTTTGAATTTTTTAGGCACCTTAAAAATTTAAATTTCACTCAAAGTGGATGGCGCATGTATTCTAAAGCTATTCGTGAAGTTTTGAAATTTTTGATTTTTGATTTTTTTGGGCAAAAAAATTTAAATTTCATTAAAAGTGGTGACCACGGTATTCTAAGCAATTACGTGAAGTTTTGAAATTTTGATTTCTTGATTTTTTTGAAAAAATTCAACAAATTTCCTATTTTCCCGAAATCTAAATTTTTTTATTTTCTCGACATTTTGATGATTTTTTCTGGAATTTTTCAATTTTTTGGGATTTTCTGAATTTTTTAAATATTTTTATGAAT